GGGCCAGGCAGCCAAGGAGGCGTACGCCTTACTGTGGCGCATGGTACTAGTATGGACGCGCTTCGTGTAGATGAGGACGGTGCCGTAGCCGACCCCTTTGCTGCGCGCTACGAAGCCAGCGCTGGCACCGGTGCCGCTGTGGCCGAGTCGATGAAACGCGAGCTGAACCGACACAGGACCTTGGGAGGTGGACGACACGTTGGAGGAGACGACATGGTGCTCGATGCGCTGGAGGATGTGCAAGAATGTTGGCCTCGTCACACGAAGCTCTTGGAGGAACTCACTGCGCGGTGGAGAATGAGGAACTCGATGAGCTTCATCGGCTCCTTCAAGGGGCTCGGACACCCGCGGCATGTCCATGTGACGATGTTTCTCAGCCACTCGCAGTTATGCGGACGTCGGTGGTTAGCCGTAGAAGCAACTTCGTTGTCGACCACAACTCTGACTCTGACTCTGACTCCCTTTTGGCAGATTTCTTGCTTCTGCTTTTGGTCATTATCCGTATCCGGTTGCGATGGCAAACTAGAAGCAGAAGCGAAAAGCAGAGATATCTGACTACCCCTATTGGCGTCACAAAACGACATCTATCGCACACGCGTGTGTAAACTACGCAAGCAGTTGGCCGTGGCCTCGAAGAGTGCCAGAACCGAAGGCACTCGAAGAGCTACGTCACGATTGTACCGAAAGCAAGTGTTATGGAAGTAGGGTACCAGAGACAAAGGTCATCAAGGAGACTGGCTGACCTTGCAAAGACTGTCCTCGTTGGAGTTGAAGCCAATTCGGACTTCCGGGAGATCACTGGCTTGAAACGCTGCCACAGCGCTGAGAAGCTCGTCGATCTGCGTCTCGTCCTCGACCGGGACTTCGGCCATTCCTGGACCAACGGAGGCTCCATTGTCTATTGGTACGACCCGGAGAAGAGGACCCACAGGCAATAGGCGTCGTACATGTACCCCAGGTCGTACGCGTCAGCGATGCGGCTTACCGCACGCAAGGATACATAAAAGATGTTCTCTTATATATCCTTGCCGCGCGCCGAGCAGATGTGTCGACCTGCATCTCACTCGACTCACAGTCAACTGTCAATTCGTCCGCTTCTCGGTCGCGCGTGGTACTGTGGTAATCCATCTGCTCGCCTACGATTAACGTGGTACTGTGGTACCAGACGAGAAGAACGGGGAATTCCACCTAGCTTCCACGTGTGTACAGCTAGGATCCATGGCTAGGATCGGAAACAGTGGATCGGAAATGTGAGGTCAAGCGCCAGCACACTGTGATACACTCGACACGGAGCTGGATTGCATCATGTTGGTGACTTCTACGTAAGCAGTCCCAAAAGAGCCTAGCATTTTTTAAGAGCCTAGCGCCTCTAGTACAATACCTATCGTAGATACACGACTTGGTAGCCTCATCATCCTTCAATATTAAATGAATCCCATGCTGTATCTATGCAATGTGGTCAACGGCGCAACACATATGTACGGAGCTGGCGCCGGGCGCTCTCTACAGTCGGCTGCGAAAGAGGCCGAGTCTGTGCAAGTGCGACGGCAGCGAGAGGTCATTTCCAAATCCGCCACCTCGTACTCAACAAGGCTCTAGCGTACTTCTCTCTTGACTCCCTCAAGATGCTGCACCTCGAACGTCTCTTTCTCCTCGCCACCGCCGCGAGCTCCCTCGCTGTTGCGGATCAGTGCTGCTTCAAGGACGGCGACGTCATTTCTCTCCGGTCGGACACCGGCAACTACATGGGTCGCTGCGACAGCTGTGTCTCGAACGGCGCCTACAAGGACTCGGCGTTTGTGCACGTCAAGACGCCCGCCTCGTCGCCGTGGGCGCAGTGGACCGTCGTCAACACGGGCAACGGCAAGATCGCTCTGCGCGCCGACTCGGGCAAGTACTTGTCTCGGTGCAACAACTGTGCGCCGGGGGCAGCGCACCCGGACGAAGCCTTTGTGTACGTCGACGACTGGACGACGGCGCCGTGGGCCCAGTGGACGTGCAAGGAGGCGGGCGACGGCAAGGTCGCTCTCCAAGCCGACTCGGGCAAGTTCCTCGCGCGCTGCAACAACTGCGTCGGTGGCGCGTACCCCGATACCGCGATGGTGCACGCCAAGACGTTCAATGGCACGAGGTATGCGCAGTGGACGATCGAGGCGAACGGCAAGCTGTCGACCAACCGTTGCCAAGTTCCGACGGCTGCGCCTACAACGGCAGCCTCCTACTTGCCGACGCCCGCGCCCACCACTATGTCGTCGTCTGCCCCAACGCCGTTCCCGACGACACCGAAGCTGAAGCCAACGACTCCGGTGCATTCGCCAACGTCGGTATCGGTCTATTGAGTGTCGGTAGTAGAAACTGTTCTATTCTGAACGACTCAAATTTACGCGTTGACAACAAAAATCTTCCGAGTTTCGCACACCAAATACGGCTAAAACGAGGCGAGCTCGAGAGAACGAGGTCAATGGTTTGTTTGCCTGTAGATCATATATCGACATGGGAGGCAGGTTGACGTTTGTCGGACGCACCAATCTCACTTCCCAACACGAGATCGCCAGTCGTTCGTTGTTCCAGGAGACTTTGGTAGCTAGCCATTTCGCAGCTTGTTAACAAGTAGACATTTGGTAAAGCCCTGTGACTACGTGTGGCTACGATGGATCGCGTGATCGATGCTTGTACGTGGCGCGTGTCGGCGTGGTCGCCCAAGATACCACCGCCACGGCCACGGTAACGTGACCATCTTGATCAGCGGTCTTTTAGCTGGCCAATCAACAGATCTTTTTTATTAAATGTGCTTGCCCATACCAGAACCAAATTGAAGAATAATATGCAATAAATACAGCGTGCTATGAACCCTCTTTTGACAAACCAGAGCATTCAGGCCATTTTATGTCAAGGAAAGTTCTCCTTTTGTCGCAATGGACACTACATTACCATAATTTGTCTCCAACGCCGTCGAGGATCTTGCATCCAAGAGACTTGGTCGTTGTATGCGACGCGTTGGCTGGGTCCATTTTGGCTGACTTCACCGAGGGAAGATGCAAAGCAAGGACGACGACGCGCTGCCCGAGGGCTGGGTACATGGAGATGCAGCGAGGGCGGAAGGTCACGCTCTGTATGTGTAGACTAAGCGCGAGTCGACGTCGCAGCCGGGCCGCTACTACTACGTGTCCCCGACCGGCCAGACGCAATGGTACCCTCCGCGTAAGGCGGCAGCCGCGGCCGCGCCCAAGGCCTTCAACTGGCGCTGCGAGATCGAGATCGAGTTCGGGGCTGGGCGACTCGGCGTCGGTCTCAAGGAGGTCCCACAGACGACGTCGATCCCATTCCCCATGTTCCAGGCTGAGGTCGAGGAGCTCCCGAAACTCCCTGGCGGCAAGCCCGGCCCGGCCGAGATCTACAACTGGAGCGTCAAGCCCGACAAGCGCCTGTACCCTGGCATGCGCCTCACGCAGATCAACGGCTTTGTCCTCGCGGGCTGCAAGTACACAGAGGTCGTCGACAAGCTCAAAAAGGCCGACCGGCCCGTCAAGCTCAAGGTACCACGATTCCGCGCTTGGACATGTGATGGATCGCGACTAGTTTGCCGACGCGGCGCGTGGCGTGTTTGACAAGGACGAAGCGATGCCCGAGGCCGAGACCGAGGCGCCCAAGATGGCGCCGGCGCTGGCGTACCCGCCCATGTCGGCCTTTAGCGTCCAGAAGCAAAAGAAAGAGGTTTGCAAGTCGCATCTATCGCGCGAAACACTCATAACGACTGGACGTAGGAATACATGCAGCTGCTCGTGTCGAGCGAGCTCAGCACAGAGATGTGGCAGCTCGAGACGCAGAAGATCCAGTCGCAGCACCGCCAAGTCGCGCTCAAGTGGGACCTCCTCTCCAAGTCGTTCAATGCGCTTATGGAGCAGCAACTCAAGTGCAAGAAGGAGATTGAAGTCGCGACGTACGAGCAGTCCAAGTACACGGAGATGCTCGAGCAGCTCAAGCAGCAGGAGTCAGGCGCCGTTGTGTCGCCCGAGGTGCTCAAGACGCAGGAGCTCAGCGCCAAGAACGCCGAGCTCTCGCAGGACATTAATGCGATGAGCGCCGGCAACAAGAAGCTGCGCAAGGAGCGCGAGGCCAACCAGAAGCTCCTCGACGAGCTCGAGGCGCAGGTGACGGCCGAGGCGCTCAAGACTGCGACCAACGCGCCGGCGCCCGCCAAGCTCTCGGTCGACGATTGGTGCGGCATCGACCCGGCGCTAAGTCCGCGACGAAAGCTTGAGCTCTACGCGCAAAAGATGGCGTTGCTCGAGTACGAGCTCAAGAAGGAAGAGCAGCGCGCCAAGCAAGCCGAGACCGAGCTCGCGGGCCTCAGTCGTGCGTATTGCGAGGAGTCGGACATTGCCATGGACACGATGCGCGGCTCCATTCCGCGCCCAAGCGAAGAGGTATCACCGGCGCGCCCGACGCTCAAGAGCATCGACGAGGACCTACCACCGCCGCCGTCGTCGAGTGCTGTGATGCCTCCAATCCTTATGGGCTCGACGCGCACCGGGCTCCACTCGCAGCGCAGCGAGCGGACACGCAGTGGCAGCAGCAACGGCGCCGCTGTTCTCAAGCGAGCAGAGAGCACCCGGAGCACCAAGTCGGACGCACCAATGTACGTACATCTTGCATGATTAGTGACGACATCGAACACCTGTTCTAGGACTGGCTCGAGCCGCAACCTCACTCGTGCCACAAGCACCACCCCGGCGTCGATGACGCCACCGCAGCTTGCCCGCGAGGGCTTTTTGGAGAAATTCCCGACGCACTTCAATCAAGAAGGCGGTAGTGTGCCGTATCAACTCTTTTACTGTGCTCACAACAAAGCGTAGGCATGTTCAAGTCGATGCGCATCATGCGCGGTGCGCGTGAGCGCTGGTGTGTGCTCACGCCCCAGGGCACGCTGCTGTACTACAAAAAGCGAGGGGATGCGACGCCGCGGGCAGAGATCCCGCTCAACGACTCAAGTCTCGAAGTCGTTTGCGATGCGCTTGTCAACAAGTAAGCTCTCCTTTTTGCGGCCAAGCTTGATGGTCTACGTAGCTACAGCGCCAAGTCGACAAAGGAGCTCACGTTTACCATCAGCACGACCCTTGCGCAAAACAAGTTTCAAGCCGCGTCTCTCGAAGAGCTGCGGTCGTGGGTCACGGCGATTCGGCAAGTGCACGCGTTTTGGATGTCGTCAGGCCATGAGGTATGGCTTTGAAGGCGGTACGCACCTCGAGCAACAATTATTGCGTAGGCAAAAGAAGACCAAGCGCTCCAGCGATTAGTCGACGAAGAGCAGCAGCAGCGCACGCAGCATCGCCGCGCTGTCGAGTTTTAACGTACTGTGTGATTCTGACATGTATTGTTTGATCAGAACGAAAACTGGTTAAGGACGCAGGTGGCGAACCATTCAAGTGTTTGAGGACGGCAAGAGCGCACAAAAGAGCGGAATGCTGCCATGACCATTCGCACAATCCCATCGAGGCCGAGCTTGTACACCGTCCTACCGGTACGTTGTCAAGCCCAATTTTATCCGGATTTATTATTATCCGGGCATCATCCCGAGCTGGAGGCCAGAGGAGCAAATGAGGTCGACTTTTGAAGTTTGAAATAAAGTCTCTTGTTTCGTACTAAATGTACAGAGGAAGTTGCAGTGAGCCCGAAAACCAAAGAATGGTGCTCGTAGGGTGCCTACAGCCTGAGTTATGCGTCATTAAAGTTGGTACAAAACTGATACTGAATTTTGTATCATTGTATCGGTGTATCAGTCACCTCCAACTTGAATGACGCATAACTCAGGCTGTAGGCACCCTACGAGCACCATTCTTTTGCAACTTCCTCTGTACATTTAGTACGAAACAAGAGACTTCATTTCAAACTACAAAAGTCGACCTCATTATTTGCTCCTCTGGTCTCACTCGGCATGTTGTCCGGATAATCAAGTCCGGGTAAAATCGGCACGGCAAAATGCGTCGGAAATCACGAAATTACGATAAAATCGAGCTAGCGCATTCATGCCTAATAGAGGGGGATGGCCGAACCGAGGTGCGGAAAGTCCGGCTCCACGAGCGACTCTAGATTCAGGGCAAAAAGCCGCCACGTCTTGATGTCCAGCAGCAACATTCGCCGGTCGCGCAGTTGCAGCGAGAGGAGTCCGTTGATGACGGCCGAGGCGCGGTCAATGTGGTACACCCCATGGAAAACCCACGTGTCCTGCTTAAAGTGGTGGTACGCCGTTGCGTACAGGAGGTGGGACCGTATACCCGTGTCTGTCGCGTTCGGAAAGCGCAAGCGCTGGATACCGTAGCTCGCAATGACAAGGCCCACGACTAGCCCGAGGAGGCCGAGACACCTGCTCAAGTCGCCAATGAAGATGACGCCGCTGTCGCAGACCAGCTGCAGGTCCACAGCTGGAACGATGCACGTTCGGTGCACGTCAGTGTAGTGATCCACCGGCAAAGTGAGTGTCCAAATTGCGGCGACGAGCCAAACAAGAAGACTGCTTGGCGCTGCGTAGAGCGAGGTGTACTGATGTGTGGCGACAGAGAAGGCGTCATTCAAAATGAAGACGAGCCACGTGGTCTCGCCCGCGGCCATGACGGTGGTGAGCCACAGCTGGGGCACCGAGACGAGGTAGAAGAACCCATGGGATTGCATGAGGTCCAGCTTGGCGGTCGAGAGAAGACAGACGGCGGTGATCCCTCGTAGAAAGATAAGGGGTCGGCCGATCCAGACGAGACCGGTCACGCGGTTGAGCGCTAGCATGTTATAGCCTTCGATATGGCCATGGCTCGAGACGATATAGCCGCAAGCGAGACACGCAACGAAGAAGAGAACGCTCGACACATAGAGGAGGACGCCGCGGAAGTAGAGTGCGACGTTAACGGGCACTTCGAGTGGGTTGACAGGTCCAATGTGCACGGGGTTGCGCCCCGATAGAACCGTGTACGCACCGTCGGCGCTGGAAAACGTGACGACTTCGCGACTGCCAGCCAGCCACTCGAGGACGTAAAGCCAACCAAAGAGGTGGAACCCGGGATCGACGTCGTCAAAAAGACTCGACTGCACAAAGTGCGTCCCTGTTGCGTTCGCCATAAACTGCACGAGCACGACTGGGAGCTGCGTTTGGACAAAGTGCTTGGACGCAATCGAGGCGGCAGCGACACGAGCCCAAGCCGCGTTCGAGAAGGCAGTCTTGAGGTAGCTTTTGGTGGCCGAGAGAAAGGTCTGACAGGCCGTGGACGTGCCGAGGGTCCCACTCGCACACGTCTGCGCCACGTCAACGCTGGGGCCGGACGCAAGCAGCGCGAGACTTCCCAAGCGGGCGTCGACCACCTGGTTGTCGCCCATGCAAAAGGTACAGGCGCCAAGATTCGAGAAGAAAATACCGACAAACGACGCCTCCGACTGCGTGGGGCACATGAGGTCGCCGCCGAGAAGCCGGTTGCTCCACGCCGCAGGAGCGGTCGTGAACGAGACGCTACCGCCGATCGCACGAAATGCTTCGTGCGACGCATCGCTCGCCTGCGCCATAGCGGCGTTGAATGTGGCGAGGAGCGCTTGGCGCCACGCCAGCAGTGTGGCGGGGTACGCGATGCGACGCATTTCGATGGTACCGAAAGGACCCAGAGACATAGCAATGAGGGCCAGTCCAACGTCCAGTGGGTACTCGAGCGTGCTGTTCATCGCGAGTGCCGTCGCAATACTAGCGTTGCGAAACGCAAACTGCGGACTCTGGCGCACAAGACTGTCGCCGCCGATACCGCTGCTGTTGGAAGCGACGGCCCACAGCAAGCTCGCGAGCGGCCACTGCATCTTGAACGACGTCTGCTGGTTCGTGTGCAGTGACCCGTTCGAGTACTTGAGCGTCAATGGGTATGAAATGCCAAACGCGTTCTGGATCGAATATGTCTCGATGACGCCGAGTGCCTTGTAGTTTTGCCACTGCGTCACGTAGACTGAGATGCCGTGTTGGCGCCAGTAGGCCGCCTCGGAAGCCACGTCCAGCGCATTTGTTTGCATCGCGACGAGCCACGCTTGACCTTGCAGCGAAGTCTCGAGGTAGTCGAAGAAACCAATTTCAAGCGAGTTGCCCCAGCAGCGGTGCAGATCTTCATGGTTGGCGTTGCGAAGCAGTCCTTCGAGGTACACTGCACCGTTGGTCGTTTCTGTCGCTCGACATTGAGCCTGACGATACGCCGAGGTTGCGAGCTCCCACGTCTGGTTAAAGTCGAGGTAGCAGTAGGACGAGGCAATCCAAGGCGTCAAGCAGCCGTCCATGGAGCGCAGACCAGCAATGACTTTTGTGAGTGAGTTGGCTTCGTCTTGAATCATGGACGCGTAGAGCATCGGGACCGCGGCGGTCGTTGAGGAGAGGTTGTAGAGATTGGAGTTGTCGCTGAAGCTGAGGTTGGTGAGATCGATGCGCGACAAATGGTTGCTGGCTTGCAACTGCTGTGTAAACCAGTTGGTCAAGAATGTTTGGTGCCCACTCGCGTTAAAGTTGGCCCACCAAAAGTCGTTGGTCATGGCGGTCGAGGAGAGGTAGATGTACGTGAAGCTGCCTCCGACAGAGAAGAGCACGTACACGATACCGAGGACAGTTGTGGACGTTCGACGCCCGTGGGTGACTGGGACATTCGACGTTCTCGCTTTGGGGTGCACTGATGTAAGCAGCAACGGATTGAGGCGCACAAACTGCCAGAGGTTGACGTGGAAAAAGCGGCGGCGGACCGGAACGATACCAGCGAGGAGCGTCGTCGTCGGGTCTTGGAACCACAGCGGACGCGCAGCCGCTAGAAGAAAGATTTGAGCAGCGGCGGGCAAGAGCTCGCTTTGCCGACCTCGGGGCGGACACTCGGCGCCCCACCATAGACGTACAAGCAGCCAAGCGCCGAGGATGCTCAGCAAACCCACACACACGTACAGGAAGAGGCGCTCGGCGCTGCCAACCTGCACAACGCCGCCCGAGCACGTAGCTCGGAGCCCCAGCTGCACGACACGGCACGTCTGTTGTACGTGCAGCGACGCTTCGAACGGACGAATGGTTTCCCAAAGGACATAGACACACCAAGCCATGACAGCGCTAAGCGGGGCATAGAGGCGAGCGCGGCACTCGGCCGTCGGCAAGAACAGGTCGACAACGACGTACGTGATCCAGCTACCTTCGCTCGCGAGTACCATGACGTCGATGGCCGGACGCGGCTCAAACACGAATCGCGCGACGCTGGCTTCAGCCACAAAGACGACAGGCGACGTAGCGAGCACAGTGAGCGCAACCACCCCCCGCAGGAGCAGGAACGGGCGGCCGACCCACGTCGGGCTCGCGACGCGATGAAACGCAATGAGGTCCATGCCGGTGACATGCAGATTCTCGTGCATGGCTGCCGCGAGTACCGCGAGTGCCACGAGTGACATGAGTGCGCTCGAGTACACAAGGATGTACCAGACGTACTTGCACGCTTGCTGTGGGAGCTCGAGCGCGTTGGCTGGAAATGGCGTCGGCGCCAAGTACGGCGACATGAGAGTGTACGACCCTTCGTCCGTCTGGAAGGCATAGACCTCGCGGTCTCCTTGGAGCCAGTCGTAGACCATCGCCCAGCCGAAAAAGCTAAACGCATCTTGGGCGGCCAGTACGGTTTGCGTTAAAAAGGTCGGCCTGCTGCCGTTCATGGCCAGCTGAATGAGCGTCAGGTTGAGCTGCGACATGGCTGCGCTGAGCACATCCGTGGATGGCAGCGACTGGATCGTATGCTGGACGCGCTGTAGGGTCGCCAGCGAGACGTCGCACGCATCGTCCGTCGTTGTCGCGAGGCCACAAATGGCCGGAATGTCCACACGCCCCCTGGACGTGGACTCGAATGTGACGAGCGCAAACAGAAGCGCTTGGCGGGAGAATACGAGGATGCTTGGTTTCTGGACGGTACATGCATCGTAAAAGCCGAATTGGTCCTGGACAAAGGGCTGCTGTGCTGCACTCACGCACATCGCGTTGCCGGTGAAGTAGCTCATAGCATCGCCGCGCCACGACCGAGGCACCGCGTCTATAGTAAGTGGCGCTAGCGTCTTGTACATCTCTGCCGCCGGCGCATTCTTGAGGAGAGGCACGACCGCACCGGCCTGGTATGCTGCATAATACTGCTGGAGGGCGCTCGGTGTTTGAACAAAAAAGACGTCGATGCTGCCCATGGCGCCCATGTTGGCGTCAATGAGGTCGGGCAGCGTCGTGCCGAGCTTAAGTCCGTACACTACGCGCTCCCAGTCGAGCTTGATACTGTCCGAGTAGTTGTTGGCACCATGGATGAGGCTGCAGTTGCGTGCTTGGCACTCGGCAATGTCGTTCCAAATGCCCTCGTAGGCACTGACGAGCGACCAAAGCGGAAGGCCGCGGTAGCTTTGTGCCATGAGATGAATCGTCACGTTCGTGCGGATACCCAGTGCGTTCTCAATCATGATCGTCTCTTGGAGTCCCTGCTCGTAGTAGTTGGTGAGCTGCGTCTGCCAGTAGGTCAAGCCAGCGCGGCGCCAGACGTGGTTTTCGTCCGCCACCGATGGCCATGGGTGCGCCCAGAGCTCGTTCAACCACGCAGCACCAGACTCTGAGCTTTGAATGTGGTCAAAGAGGACGATCTGCAGCGCGACGCCGTACGTGCTGTTGAGAACGTCGAGCTTGTACGAGTTGCGCAGAAGCGGCTCCCAGTACGCGCCTGCGTTCTCTCTTTGCTGATGGACGCAGCGCGCCCGGCGCTTGGCCGTGATGGAGAGCTCGTACGTCCGGTTCCAATCGACCCAGCAGTACTGAGCAAACATGCGTGCATTCCACGCAAAACTGGTTTGACGCAGTGCCGGAATCACCGCGTCAAACGAGATGTTGGCGAGGAGCACCTGTCGCGACATGGAGAGACGCATGTCGATGAAGGACGGGACCGAGTAGTTCTTCTCCACGAGGACCTCGGGCGCGCAGAGGGGTAGCGTTGCTTCAGCTTGGAGCTGCAGACGCCGGTGAAAGACGTCGGCGAGGAAGGTTTGCGCCCCCGCCGTCGTAAAGCCGGCCCACCACAGGTCGTTGGTGACGCTGGGCTGGATAAGAATAAGAAAGTACACGCCGAGCGCCGTCGTAATGAGCAAGTAGGCGCTGCCGAGTATCGCCCACGTCCGCGTTGGTGGTGCAGAGGAACGGACGTGGCTCGTCGCGGGGCCTGACGGGTGGATCATCTTCGCAAGAAAAAGAAACCGATACGTATGAAACAACTTGGATCCAGAAGAATGATGGTCATACGTGGCAACGTGAGCGACGAGCACCCTTTCCACACTCGCTTTCAATATATGTCCCCATTTAAGCTGGCTACACGACCGCTGGGAACACTGCTATCTATTGCTCACGCGAACCCCGCTTGAAAGTTGAGGCCAGCTCGCAACCAGGACCTGTCGCAGTGTTTTGGATGAATTCTATACTAGCGAACTATTTGTAACAACGAAGATAACGCGAAACACGTTCATATATATATGTACCAACTAATATGTCTATGCTCAAAATTTCCTTTCGTGGCACGCGCGACGCCGATGCATTGATTAATCAACGGGATCGTGTGCGCGAGGTATGGCGGTGTCGTCTTGTCAATGTCGATCACAGGCCGAGCGTAGAGCCGCCACGTCTTGATATCGAGAACATTCGAGCCCCACGGGAGGCTCAAGAGTCCGTTAAAGGCAGCGGAGGCTCGGTCCATGTGGTAAACGTTCTGGAAGACCCAGCCGTCCTGCTTGAAGTGGTGAAACGCTGTTGCGTGCAGCAACGTGGTACGCAGACCCGTGTCGCGGAGCTGTGGAAACCGGAGGCGCTGCACCGCGTATGTACCAAAGACGAGAGCAACCGCGAGCCCGAGGAGCCCGGTGAACCGCGTGACGTCCCCGATGGCCAAGATGCCGGCGTGGCACACGAGCTGGCTGTCGACAGCGACCGCGTCACAGGTGCGCGCCAACGTCACTTGATGCTGGACAGGCGACACGAGGCTCCAGATGGCGGCTGCGATCCAGACTGCGATGCTGCTCACGTCGGCGTAAATGGCGGTGTACTGCTGCGTCACGATCGAGAAGGCGTCGTTGAGAAGGTACACAACCCACGTGGCCTCGCTCGCCGCCATGATGGTCGTGAACCACGACTGCGGCTGCGACACGAGGTGAAAGAATCCGTTGGAGTAACCGAGGTCGAGCTTGGCCGTCGAGAGAAGGCAAAGCGCCGTGACGCCGCGCAGCAGGAGCAGCGGTCGCCCCAGCCAGACGAGTCCCGTGACGCGATTCAGCGAGAACATGTTGAAGCCCTCGATGCAGCCTCGCGTCGCTGCAATGTACGCGATCGCGAGGCACGCCACAAGCAGAAGGACGCTGCTCACGTAGAGCAGCTCGCAGCGGCAGAAGAAGGCGACGTTCACTGGAATCTCAAGCGCGTTCACTGGCCCAATGTGTACGGCATTGCGCGTCGAGAGAAGGGCGAGGGCTCCGTGCGCACTCTGGAATTCCACGACCTCGCGGATACCGTGGAGCCATTCGAGGAGGTAGAGCCAGCCAAACGCGTGAAACCCGGGGTCTTTTGGGTCGAGGATGGTCGCATTGCGCAGCTCGATACGCCCAACGCCATCGTCGGTTGACGCGTTGATAAAATGTGCGATCGCGACTCGCAACTCACTCTGCAGAAGCGCTGTGGGGGCCGCGCTCGACGTAGTCGTCCATTCGTCTACCGTGAAGAGGCTCGAGAGGAAGAGCAGGGAAGCGCCGAAGACAGCGTTGCATGTGACGCTTCTCTGCATCGTTGCATGCGCGCAGGTAGCGCCGATTTCAAAGCCGGGTCCGAGCGCGAGCAGCGCGTGCGTCGTCATGAGCCCATCCACGATGAACACGTCTCCCTTGTGGCCGGCGCAGACGCCGACGTTGGAGTAAAATACATTGACAGTCGCGCCTGGCACTTGGATCGGACACGTGATGTCGCCGCCACGAAAGGCACTGGTGGTGACACCCTCACGCCACGCTGCCGGCGCAGCGCTGATCGACACGGCCGATCCAATGCTGCGAAAAGCGGAAACGACGCTGCTGTTGGCCAATGCGAGCCGCTGGTTCAGGATTTCTCTCGTGCGCGTGTACCAAGCCACGAGTGAAGGCGGGTAGGCCACCCGTCGCAAGTCCACCGAGCCAAAGGGACCAATTGCCTTGACAAAGAGCTCGCCTCCGACATCGAGCGGGCTTGATATCGTCCCGTTTTGAGTCAAGGCCATGAAGACGGTAGCGTTCGCAAACCCATAGGTAGGGCTCTGGCGCACGAGGCTACGGCCGCCGATACCGCTGCTGTTGGAAGCGACGGCCCACAGCAAGCTCGCGAGCGGCCACTGCATCTTGAACGACGTCTGCTGGTTCGTGTGCAGTGACCCGTTCGAGTACTTGAGCGTCAATGGGTATGAAATGCCAAACGCGTTCTGGATCGAATATGTCTCGATGACGCCGAGTGCCTTGTAGTTTTGCCACTGCGTCACGTAGACCGAGATGCCGTGTTGGCGCCAGTAGGCCGCCTCGGAAGCCACGTCCAGCGCGTTTGTTCGCATCGCGACGAGCCACGCTTGACCTAGTAGCGATGTCTCGAGGAAGTCGAAGAAACCAATTTGAAGCGAGTCGCCCCAGCAACTCTGCAGATCTTCATGGTTGGCGTTGCGAAGCAGTCCTTCGAGGTACACTGCACCGTTGGTCGTTTCTGTCGCTCGACATTGGGCCTGACGATACGCCGAGGTTGCGAGCTCCCACGTCTGGTTAAAGTCGAGGTAGCAGTAGGACGAGGCAATCCAAGGCGTCAAGCAGCCGTCCATGGAGCGCAGACCAGCAATGACGTTTGTGAGTGAGTTGGCTTCGTCTTGAATCATGGACGCGTAGAGCATCGGGACCGCGGCGGTCGTGGAGGAGACGTTGTAGAGATTGGAGTTGTCGCTGAAGCTGAGGTTGGTGAGATCGATGCGCGACAAATGATTGCTGGTTTGCAACTGCTGTGTAAACCAGTTGGTCAAGAACGTCTGGTGCCCACTCGCGTTAAAGTTGGCCCACCAAAAGTCGTTGGTCATGGCGGTCGACGAGATATAAATGTACGTGTAGCTAGCGACCACCGACGTGATGACGTATATAATACCCCCAATTTCCAGGTAGCCAAACTTCCAGAGCGAAAAGCTCCGGATGCTCGAGTAGCTGGTTTGCGAAGGCAGTTGGAGCGTATTGTTGACTGTTAGTACTTGCCAGAGGTTGACGACAAACATGCGACCGGCCAGGGGGAACATGCCCGCCATGATCACGGTGGTCGGCCGCGTGTGCCATGTCACAGGACGCGCCAAAAACACCTGCGCCGACGCCGGCAAGAGGTCGCTGCCTCGGACGTTGAAGATGGGACCTCGCCGGCGCCACGCAATCACCGCCAGAAACGAAACGATGACGCTGCTTACGTGCACAAGGAGCAGCACCCCGAGGCGATCGCGACTGCCGATGCGCACGACACCTCCCGCACACGTGGCTGCGAGCCCCAGCTGCATAATCTCACAGGACTGCTCAAAGGTTGCCGTCGCTTCGTACGGCGCGACGACCTCGATGAGCAGCGTTGCGAGCCATGCAATTAGCGCGCTCAGCGGCGCCGCAAACTTGGCGTGTACCTCGGCGACAGGCAAGGCGAAGTCCACGAGCGCATACGTGATCCATGTGGCTTCGCTTGAGAGCACTATGACGTCCCAGGGAGTGCGAGGCGCAAAGACGAAGCGAGTGATACCATCGGCCGACGCAAATTGCATTGGCGATGTGCTCAGAATCACAAGGGCCGCCGTGCCCCGGAGCATGAGGAAGGGCCGCCCAACCCACACGAGGCTTGCGACGCGATGAAAAGCAAAGACTTCGCCACCATGGGACCGGAGAGATGCGAGCAAGACGAGGGTGGCAACGACACCCATGAGTAAGCTTGAGTAAAGAAGGATGAGCCACACGTACGAGCACACTTGGTTTGGGAGCTCGAGAGGGCTCGCGGGCAGTTGGCTCGGCGCTGTGTGCGGTGTCAAGATCATGTACGCCCCCGTGTCCGTGTCGAACTCGACTGCCTCCCGCGTGCCTTGCAGCCAGTCGTAGACCATTGTCCAGCCGAAGAAGGACCAAGGATCTCCATGCGCGATTGTCCGTTGGGTCAAGAAGACGGACGATGTTCCGTTCACACCCAGCTGAATCATGCTGAGATTCAGCTGCATCATTGCTAGCGCCAGATCCCCTGCGAAGATCGCGAGGGATGAGAGATCCATGGCGGTGACCACGGCAGCAATTGGCTTGAGCGTCGCCATGCAGTCGTGATAGCCGTCGTCTCGAGCACAACCGCTGCAGAGGACATCGAGTCGGTGCAGCATGTCTTTGTCGGTAACGGCAAGTGTCGCGAGCGAGAAGAGAAGGCTAGGACGTGTTCCAATGACAATTGCGGGCGCTTGGGCGTCGCACGCATCGTAGAAGCCAAACTGGTCTTGCACGAAAAGCTGGGGTTTGGCGTTGAGACACATGGGGTTGCCCCCAAAGTACGTCATATTGACCCCCCGCCATGCCGGGGGGGATACCGCCGCCACCAGCGCTGGAACTTGCATGTAGCCAGCCGCCGTGACAGGCGACAGCAAAAGCGGTGCGACGATCGAGCGTTGGTAGTTTGCGTAGTAGGCTTGCAGCGCGGGGGGTAGGGGCACAATGCGTACGTCGATGCTGGCCATGGGTCCGATGTTGGCGTCGATGAGCTTTGGCAGCGTCTTGTTGACAGGGATGGCGAGTAGCAGCACCTCCCAATTCTGCTTGATATTGTCCGAGTAGCTGTTGGCGCCGCGAATGAGACTGCAGCGCCGGGCTTGGCACTCGAGAAGGTCGTTCCAAACACCGGCGTACGCACTTGCAAGCGTCCAGAGCGCGAGGCCGCGATAACTCTGCGCCATGAGGTGAATCGTCATATTTTGTTGAATGCCGAGTGCATTCTCGACAACGATCGTCTGCTGCAGGCCCTGCTCGTAGTAGTTGGTGAGCTCCGTCTGCCAGTAGGTCAAGCCCGCGCGCCTCCACAGCTCCACTTCGTCTGCTTCCGGCAGCCACTCGTTGTGCATGAGAGACACGAGCCAGTTGTGGCCGGCCGACGTCGCGCCAATGTACTGGAAGAGCGAGATATTCATGGCGACGCCGTAGGGGCCGAGGAGGATGTCTTGCGTGACCGTGTTCCGCAGCAGCGGCTCCCAGTACACCGCGGCATTGGCGGCTTGTTTCAAGTAGCACCGACGCTGACGCGCCGCCGTCGCCGAGAGCTCGTACGTGTGGTTCCAATCGACCCAGCAGTACTGCGTGAACATGCGAATGTTCCACGCAAAAGACGATCGCCGCATCGGCGGCAGCACGCTCTCGAGCGACAAATTGCGCAGCAGCACGTGACGAGACAAGGAAGGACTCATGTCCATAAAGGTTGCACCCGCGTACGTCTTCTCCAAGACGAGCTCCGGCGACGCCAGCGACATCGTCACCGGAGTGCTGAGCTGCAAACGTCGATGGTACAGATCGCCGAGGAACGTTTGCGCCCCCGTGGTAGTAAAGCCGCGCCACCAGAGATCGCTCGCGAGGCTCGAGCGGACGAGATGCAAGTAGTAGTATCCGATGCCCATCGAAGCAATGAGATACACGGCACTCAACGCCGCTTGGCACTGCTGCCATCGACCTGCGCGTTGGACGCCGGCAGGAACGAGCGTGGCTCGTGGCGCCTCCGGGACGATCATCGGACCTTGCCGTTTCAGACGAAACCAAGTGTGTAGGTCGTTTGAACACGCTGCGCTAAATTCCTTTGGCTCTTACGATAGGTAGTAGTAGTAGACTACGGATGCATGGTGTTTTATGGGTTGCGCCACCGATGCAAACAGTGGCGCGAAAGGGTATATAGGCTGGCGGAAGCTTGCGAGGCAAGTGGTGGGGGTCGAAAAGGGCGACCGTTGGGATCAAAACCGTTGCTCATTGTGACTCTTGAAAGCGACAGGACAACCGCTTAGTGCTCACGATGCCCCGCTGGGCCCAACCACCACCCGAGAAAGCCGTACTGCTACCGGACCCGAAGAAGAGCGATGCGCCGACGCCAGACGATGTGCTTGCAGACCTCGACCAAGGTAGACTGTCAAGCATCGGCTCTCATCTCTGCAATGAGATCTAGTCGAGCTGCAACTTGTGCAAGTTCTCCAGGAAAACGGCGTCGGCGAAATCTGCCGCACGATCAAGCACGAGATGGACACGGTTTGGGCCGTTCAAACCGGCTTCAAGACGCTGGCGAGTGCCGGTCACTTTTACTTTTCGTGTGGCGAGCAGATATTCACGGTACATCTTCAAAAGTACCGTACTTCTCGCTGCATTTGAGCGGTAGACGACCCCGTCCGATGGCTTTTACGACGCCGACGGGCTCGTGCTGGCACTCTTTGCCCTCCGCAAGTTCCCGCACCATCCAGAATTGCTCTGCCCGGTCCTCGACGCGATCAACATTTACGCCAAGCTCGATGGTACAGCTTATGTCCGAGAGCAACGGTGACAAGAGTATTCTAGTCGAGCGTGCACTGACGTTTTGCGCTGTCGACGACGGCGTGCAGCTGCTCCTCGACTGCATACGCAACCACGGTGACAAGCCCGACGTCATCACCCACGCGCTCAACGCACTTGGCAGCTTGATGCTCAACGGTGCGGTCATAAGAAACACACGCCTTTACGACTATCGACTAGATGACGTTCGTGTCGCGATCGCCACAATGGCACTGACCGACGAGCTCCTCGATCTCCTCGGCCGGTACAAAGCGTCGCTCAATCTCGCGCGCGCATTTTTGTATCCGCTGAGTAACCTCGTCGTGCTGCGTACGTTCGTGCTACGATCTTATAGCCGTGGGTAAGAGCTTACCGTGTCATCGCATAGGGGAGCTCGGCCAGCATTTTGTGAGTCGGAACGGTATCCCGATCGTGCTCCACGCTTTGCAGATACACAAAGACGATGTGCAGACCTCGTGGTATGCATTGGCGCTACTCAACGCTCTCGCCACAGACAGTACTCGCACGCGTCCTCCACGGTTTCTTAGTTGGCGTAGGCTACCACACGACGATCATGGCTTCCGTGCATGACCGCCGCGGCGTGCGTTTGATTGCGCGCGCGATCGCCAAGCACATTGACGTCGAAGAGATCGTGCTGGAAGGTCTCCAGCTGCTCGAATGCGTCGCCAACGTCCCCGACTGCTACCGCGTCATCAACGAGAACCACGTCTTGGACCTCGCTTACCGCGCCGTCGCCTTGTACAAGGGTATGCCGTTAAGGTTAAAGCGTGTTGTGTGACAAGGAGGTCCTAGGCCCGGCGTACACGCACACGCGCCTCGAGCTCACGGGCCGCATCACGACATTTCAGAAATGCGCGATCCAAGACGGTCACATCTACGCCATGCACGAAGGCGTGACGCACGGCGACGCAGTGTTTTACTCGGTGTTTTTGCTGCTCATCGCCATTTACGCCGCTGTGTCGCCGTACAGTCTCGCGACCAATACGACCCCGCTCGTCGACCGGCTTCGCGTACCGCCTTTGTTGAATTCGATCCCGGAACTCTACGGGTACCTTAACAGCGCGCCGTTCCAGTCGTCGCTCTTCCCAGCGACATGGTACAACGGTGAGCCGCTCGACAATCCTCGCATCGTCTTTGGCAGCCAGCTCCTCATCGGCGCCGTCCAGGTCCGTCAAGTGCGCGCAACCGCCAACTGTACGCTTCTCAGCGTCATGTGAATCGTTGACGGACTTGTCTAGACTCGCTTGCGACCGTAACCAGCGCGCCAAAGTTTGGCGCCTGGTCGGACGCCGCAGCGTCGCAGTCGGTCGACATGACCTTGCATGGATATTCGATCCCTGCCGGCGGCTTTCTCTCGACGCTGCCGACCGACGGGACGCTGGCGCCGCAGTGCGCA